CGGGTTCGGTAGGAGCCGTCCTTCTTCATCGCTCTAAATATAAATATATTAGAAAAAACAATTTTTTACCAATGATAGAATGCTCGGAGACGTCAACCCAAGCCGACGCCAATATGCACTCCTCCTCCGGCGTCCACTTTTGGATTGACCGTGCCGCATCGGTCAACGTGCTTTTGGCTTTGTGGCTCCTCCGGCGTGTACTTTTTTTCGATCCGGACGGTTCCGGTTGAGTCTCCGGAACCGAATCTCGGTCGACGTACCCCAATTGTTGTGTCTCGTATATCGGCGGTCGATCGCCCCACTCTTGGTAGAACCACATCGCGGCGTCACTCGGGGGGAGATTGTCGGGATCGAAGCCGGAGCCGGAGGGATTCATGTTGAAAATTGGGAGGAGGGATTTGAATTTTGAAATTTAAAAATAAGAAAGAAGAAGAGATTGGAGAGAAGGTGTGAGAGATTGGTTGGGTAGAGTTGAATTTATATGAATTTTTTTTTTTAATTTGGGGTGCAACGGCTTTTTTAGCCGTTAGGAGGGAGCAGCGCATTTTCCACGCCGCGTCATTCGTTTGACGCAGGCGCCCTCACGCCCGTTTCACGCCGGCGGGGGGCGGTGTTTCACGCCCCCGGGGCGTTAAACGCCCCGTAATGCCGGTGGGCGTGAGGGGTGTTACCAGTGCTCTAATGAGTGTAATACCTAGGGGCGCCATTGCCCATTTAATGCCAATGGGCGATAAACACTGCCCTCATCCGGCGCTAAGCCGGCATTATTTTTTAAGCGTGTTTGACGCTATTTTGAAGGCTCAAAAGAGTCGTAGCCCTCTTCCCCAACGGCTATAATCCTGTAAAACTTTAAAAAAATATTTCCCTCAAAAAATTATACAACACACCACAAACACAAATCTCTCTCTCGTCTTTCAGAAAAAAAATTATGCAAGTATTTCATTTATTTTTAACATGAATCTCATCAGTTATAACGTTTCTTTAATGGGTACATAACATTTTTGAGTTGAACTAAGAATTCAATTAAATTCAATCTTTTAATTTGATTTAACTCAAGTGTGTTATAGCTCAATCGAGTAATCTCTATCCCATTATAAATAAATAAAAAGAAATGTGTTAAATAAACAGTGATTGTTTGGTTTCAACATAAGTTGCAAAACAGAGTTTGCATAGTTGGGATTTGGGATGTATGGTTTGATGACTTTTTTATTATGGCAATTTTAGCCTTCTTTCCTTAGTCAATTCTGCACCACCGTCCACAATTGCTTTATTTCAGTACTTTTGAACTGCCTTTGTGGGGCTTGTTCTTTAATTAATGATAATTACAGAGTTACAAATTAAGGATTTTTGTTTCAGTACTTCTTAGTATTATAATCCTTCCATTCAGAATTTGATTACAATTTTTTTCTCTCTCCTCTCAATATTTTTTGTTTGTTTGTGTGATTTTATTAAGTATTTGATAAAATAAAAGACTATTGTCACCTCTTGTTTTGTAGAACTTTTGACGTAATTTTTTAATATATAATTTTTATTTTTTATCAATAATACACCGATTTGTAAATAAAATAATTTCAAAAGTAAGATATTTTTAATAAATATTTTTAGAAATGTTTATTTCTAATAAAGGTATAGATTCTATTAAATATGTTTCTACATATTTTTTCAACATGTTAAATCGTATAGAGTGAACGATATACTCCGTAATTCATAATAATGTTAGTTATACAATATTTAATTAAAATGTTTTAGAAGGGGCCAGTAAGCACATTGAAATGTATTAATGGCGTGCATAACGGATGCCAATATGCCCTAATTGCCCGACTATTAATCTCTCCTAGTTGCCACCGTTTGACTTTTTTGTCACACTAAGACACTTTTAACTGCGAATTATGAAAAAAGTAAATTGAGTTATAATATACATTTAGTAAAATTGAAATTTTTTAAATAAATATTGTTTTAAAATATCAAATTTTTATAATATTTAATTATTTTAATTTATATTCAAGTGAAATTTGCATTGAATAGAACTAAAACATAAGTTATTCCCCAATGTAGGACTTAAACTTTTTTTTTCTTAAATAAGACTTAATAATAACTAGTGAAAAGAATAATGTTCAAGTGATGCTAAACATTTAGTTAAATATAGGTAATAGATAATGACCAATGGTCCTACATTGAGAAAATAAAAACATATGGTCCTATATTGAGAACGTCATTATTTTTTAGTTCTATTTAAGTAAATTACCCTATATTTAATTCATGGCCAAAGGAGTAATCTGTTGAGGGTTTTTATTGAACATGAGTTTATTTGTGCATTTCATTACTCATCCGTCCAAAAATATGCTTCATATTAGATTTTCTTAGGTCAAATTTAAATACGTTGTATAATAATATAAATTTAATATAGATATATTCTTAATAAAATGTAGATTTGAAATATCAAATTTTTATAAAATATAAATATTAATCGTCAAAATATAATATTGAAGACCTTGAGAAGTTAAATGAGAAGAACATTTTCAAACAAAAAAAACTATTTTCATATATGCGTTGTGGACATAACATTAATTAAAAATATGAAAAGAAAAAAAATAACAAAAATGTTGTAAATGAGTAAAAGACGTCAACGACAAAGTGTGGTCTCATACTCCCTCCGGCCTACAAAACTTTTATCCTTTCCTTTTTCATCCGTCTCAAAAAACACTTCTCTTTTCATATTAAAAAATCATTTTTACCCCCTATTAATTATTAACCTACCTATCACATCACACTTTTTTTCTATTAATCTACCCATCACATCCTACTTTTCTCTCCTTTTTTCTCATGGGTTGAGAAGGAAAAGTTAGCAAAGAGAAAAAAAAATCAAATCTTCCGTGTTGGGAATTAGGGGAAGTTATTTTCTCTTTCTCGTCTCAATAAATGTGACAATGTGACATAAATATAAAAATGTTTAGTTAAACATAAAAATATTTTCCATGTTTATATTATTAAAATTCGTACCGTGAAAATGAGACAATGTACATGAATATTTTACTATACTTTTTTGATAACATACATTATCATTATTGATAATGTTACTACATTTTAATTCTAATTTCGAAAATAAAAGAATGAAACTCATATTTTGATTTATTTTTAAAGTTTTAATTCTAATTTAGTCTTTTCTTTAATCAAAACTTTAATAGAAATTATTTTTCATGATCAAGGGTCAAGGGAGTACTTTAAATTCTTTGAACCATAGAGGTAGAGAGTTTTAATTAAATTGATTAATCATCAAAATATATAATTATTGATAACGATAATTAGTTGGAATGTGATGATATCATTCTATTAATTAATACCCACACATGCACTACTGGGAGTACTGGCTGGCTTTTGCTGTGATGGGGGGGGGGGGTGTCCTAATTATTAACAGTGAAACCACGATGTGCACTGTGGCGTCAACTTCACGATGATTGAACGTCGACGTTAATCTGCCCCCAATTTAATTAACCAAATCACGGCACCATTTCACTACCAGACAATTTAATAAAGCCCCAACCTGATACGCCGTCGTCTTGCTTTTTTCTATTTAGGTATATACCCTAGTATTAGACTGGGTTCCGTTTGAGTGATCTGATATCCCTCCGTTCTTAAATATTTGCCACACTTGTATTCCCGAAGCAAAAAATTAATTTTTTTCAATTCATTTTATTTTCATATTGGTATAGAAATAAAAAATAAAATTTACATATAAATAAACTACATAAAAAGTTCTTCGAAATAAGAGGTGTCAAAAATATTTTATTTTATCAAATAACCAATGAAAACGTAGAAATAAACAAAAGTTCCCGCGACTGCTGAAAAAGCAAACGTTGCAAATATTTTGGGACGGAGGGAGTGATTTTTTAAAAGTTCAATCTAATTTGGTTTTTATCTAATTATAATTATATTTAAAATTGTTTATGATCTGATCTGATTTGGTCTGATTATAATAAGAATAAGTAATAAACAAAAAAATTAAGTTAAGTGGAATGCTGCCTTAATTGTATTATTTAAGTACTCATTTAACATTAGTGTTATGATTTTTTTAATAACAATAAGGAGTACTTAAATGTTTTGGAACGCTAATTTGGACCGCTAAAAATTTATTCCATCTTATTCAGACCGGTTCAATTTTTTTTCCTTTTTTTCTTCTTTTTCAAGACAAAATATTGATATTGTTTTTATGATTTTACCTCTCCTGAATAGAGTTGACAATACAATTTTTATTTTACGGAGTTTCAAAGAAAATAATTAAAATTAACATAAAGTCCAAAATTATAGATACTCCATATATTACAGTGGGCTCAATCATGTCCATTTCTAGAAATGGAGAATGCTAAAAATCCCCCACTTTTGCTACCATGCATGCCCCCCTACATAAACATGTGGTAGGGAGGCAAGAAAAAAAGAATTTGAGGGTGGAGAGAGAATGAGTGGAGATAAATATGTGGTGGAGAAATTTGGTAGCAATGGTGGGGGTGTGTAGCATGGTCCTCTAGAAATAGGGATAGTAGCAAGATGAGGCCCAGCATTATTTCACACGTGTCTATACTTTATTTTCTTACTCCCTCCGTCCCTATAAATATTTGCCACATTTGTATTCACGAGGCAAAATATCAATTTTTTTCAATTCATTTTATTTACATATTGGTATAGAAATAAAAAATAAAATTTACACATCAAAAAACTACATGAAAAGTTCTTCGAAATAAGAGGTGTCAAGAATATTTTATTTTATCAAATAACCAATGAAAACGTAGAAATAAACAAAAGTTCCCGCGAGTGCCGAAAAAGCAAACGTTGCAAATATAATTTGAGACGGAGGGAGTATAACAAGAATTTAAATTCAAAAGGAGATGTAGAATGTGATAGAAAAAAGAAGAAAAATAATTGGACATGGAGGGCTCAACACTTTTTACCTTATGTTTTGGTACACATCATTTGAAACGAAAAAGAAAAAAAATGATACGAAGAATAATTATTCTAGTTTTGTTAGAGAATACAAAATTACTTTTATTCTCGTAAGAAAAGAAGAGAATTTTTTATGTATTTTCTCTCATTTTGAATTTCTTGAATCAAATATTGTTTTAAACTATTTAGAAATTAAGCTAGCAAATAATCGTAGATTTAACAGCTAACAGCTTTTGGTTGAATTTGTCTCTTCTTTCAAGAAACATATTACAATGGCTTATTATTGTTGCAAAATGACAGATGAAACTAGAGCTACAAATGAATAAGAGAATAGATTGGTGCACAAAAAATGTAGTGTTCCACTACCACTTAAACATCAGTAAGTTAAATTCATTTCTTTTTCCATCTCAAATTTGTTCTGTTCTTTACATAAACAATCCACAAATCTGTTGTTCTATTGCCTCAGAAAACTTGGGATCCGGACCTGGGGAAAAAAAGACTCACCGGACTTTCTTGAACGAAAACCGTGCGGCGGCACGCGACGGGGAAAGTTCCGCCGGCAACTCCGGCGGGACCAAGTCGCCGGAAAGCACTCCCGCCACCTCCTTCATAGACGGCCGGCGCGCCGGAGATTTTTGGAGGCAGAGCAAGGCCAGCTTGATGCACATCAAAGCCTCTTCTCTGTTCAACGACTCCTCGTCCATCGACGGGTCGACCAGATCCAGAAGCTTTCCGGCGCGGGCGAGGTGCCGGGCCCACGAGAGGAGGTTGGCGCGCTGGAATTCGGACATGGGCGAGCCGGTCACCTGAAGCGGTCTGCGCCCGGCGATGAGAACCAGCAGCAAGACCCCGTAGCTGTACACGTCGCATTTCTCCGAGAGGTGGTCCCCGCAGGTGCCGTACTCCGGCGCGGCGTAGCACACGGTCCCTCTCATGCTCGGCGTGCTGCTGATGCCGCCGCTCTTGGGGATCTCCCCGCTGGCGGCAGAGTCGCAGCTGTTTCTCCGGGCCTTCCACAGCTCGCCGCTGATCCCATCCAACCACCAATCCATGCTGTTCCTCCTCCTGCTAGATTGCAAGTCACCACCACCTTGTTTCTTCATCTTCTTCTTCTTCTTCCTCTGAAGTTCTTCACAGTACTCTTCCTTCCACCATTCTCTAGCCGGTCTCCTTTTCCCTGCTTTTGCCCCTTTCTTATCACCATCCTCGTCCATGGATATCCACCAATCTAAACGCTTCCCGTGTTTCTTCTTCTTCTTCTTCGTCTTCTTTGTTTCTGGTTTGGCATGTGATGAAGGCGTGTCTACCAGCTCGCTGCTACTGGGTCTCTCCTTTTGGATCTCGCTTCCAATCCATTCCATTACATAATCCTTGACAGGCCCCCCGGATTCCACCCTGCCGGAATCTTGCTTCCACCACCAGTCGTTTCTTGAAACGCCCTTCTTCACCCTGCCCTTCTTGTCACCGGTCTCTCTCCCGCTATCCAAGCTAAGCCCATCAAGATTACCAAAAGACCCTTCGGACGGCGATGCCATGGCAGCCAGCGTCCTAGGGGAAACCACGGGGGCCTCTAAGGGCAAATCCTCAAAGCCGTTGGTTGTGGTGGTCACGCTCTCGGTTTCGTCAACGTCGTCTGCGAAATTCCCTAAAGATCCCTCCTTTTTCACCTCAATTTCAAGATGGTCTTGGGGTTTTAACCTAGCCAGACCGAAATCCCCAATTTTGGCATTGAAATTGGAATCTAACAAGATATTGCTGGGCTTAATGTCGCCGTGAATCACAGAAGGGTCACAAGAATGATGCAAATACTCGAGCCCTCTGGCTATGTCGAGTGCAATTGAAAACCTAAATTTCCAAATCTTTAATTCGCCACACTTACGGTGCAATAGGCAGTCTTGCAAGCTTCCATTGGGCATTAGATCGTAGACCAGAAGCATCCGGTGGCACCGCTGCTCGGAGAAGAAGCCGATGATGGGGACGATGCGGTCGGAGTCGAGTTTCCCGGCGAAGAAAAGCTCGTTCTGGAACTCACGCTCGCCTTGCAGAGAGCCCGAATCCATGACCTTGACGGCGACGGGAACATCGGGCCTGAACCCGGAGACTCTCAGACTGCCTCTGTAAACCGACCCGAACCCGCCCTGGCCGAGTCGGAGGGACGGGTCGAAGTTCGCTGTGGCGCGGCGGAGGGCAGCGTACGAGAACCGGTGGGGCGGCTTGGACTCGGCCGCATACGAAGGCGAAAGGACTGCCCGTTTGCGCGAAAGTCTGCGGACGCAGAGATTGAGAATGACGAGAGAGAAAGCGACGGCGGCAATTCCTCCGGCGAGCAGAGGAACGAAGCGGCGAGTGTTACTGTGGATATCATGCGGCGGCGGCGGCGGCGGCGGCGAAAGGAGATGACGTGAGGGCATGGTATCAAGAAGATATGGGAATGAAAAAAAGACGAGGAAGAAGCATATCGGTGGGTGGCTGTAGAGAATGAATTCAACGGCGTTTAGTCAAGAGAATAGTACCGATGGAAGACGGTTGAGAGGTAGTATTGGTGGGGCCCCCCCAACGTTCCCTGCTTCTCTTTCAAGACGTTGAGGGGTAGACTCTTGCAGACACGCATCTAGGCCGGATGTGGGCCTGACTTAAATGGACTATAAACTGTATCCACATTCATATATCTACATAGCTCACACTACCTACCGGGTTTCCGGCCCAGTAATGGCATCAAAAAAATAGATGTATTTCTATAACGTGTAACGTATTCAGATGTCAAGGTCGATGCAAAATTATATTTTTATGGCCAAAAGTAAGTACTTTTTTATGGGTAGGTTTTTACGGACTGTTTTTTTTATCTTCTGTCGTGCTGGTCTTAATTTGAGGTTTAAAAATATAATTTCACATCGTCTTATTTTCATAACGTATTTTGAAGTCGGCTTGATGGACAATACAAAAAAATGACTATGCTTGTGGACTAGGATTTCGACCAAAAACGATATCTGTAACCTATGATTGTAGTCGATAACAACTTAAGTTGACACGTCATGCTAGAGAGTTGTTACTGTATTTTATTTGGCCGAAATATATTTTGTATTTGACTCTACAATATTGATAAGAAACTATTCACACATAAACTTTTTATACTCCCTCCGTTTCAAATTATTTGCAACGTTTGCTTTTTCAGCTGTCGCGAGAACTTTTGTTTATTTCTACGTTTTCATTGGTTATTTGATAAAATAAAATATTCTTGACACCTCTTATTTCGAAAAACTTTTCATGTAGTTTTTTGATATGTAAACTTTATTTTTTATTTCTGTACCAATATGTAAATAAAATGAATTGAAAAAACTTGATATTTTGTTTCAGGAATACAAGTATGGCAAATATTTAGGAACGGAGGGAGTATGTAATGAGCCTTGTCTAAATATCCATCACTAAGCCTTTAAAAAATAGGAAGTATAAGACAATGTTCATATTTTACATATAGACCTTATAATTATGACCATAATAGTATAACTGAGTTTGCGTATATAAATATTTCATCATCATCAAAATATATATATTTATCAAAAACGTCCAACAAAAACTTTATACTCTGTATTAAAAGAGATATTCTCCTAACATTTTTTTCTGGCCTCTTCTGTTTAATTGTCTAATTTTCTCATGGTCTCTATATATTTGTGTTGTTTGACTTTGAATCAAATTGGACGAACTTTAGATATGAATTGTTCTTTATTTACATTATAGAGTATATATTAACACAATGAAATAAAATTTTGAAAATTATAAATAAAAGAAATTTAATAAAATCATATTTATATTAATATATTACAATTTTCATTTAGTTGAAGTCTAAAATTCATATTATTTGACCTCAAAATATTTAACTAGAATAATACATTGAGATACGGTAATATTCCGTGGTACTTAGCCTATGTTTTTCATATACGGAGTATATAAAAAATCAACCATGCTAGGGGTATACCAAAAGTTGATGTCACCAAAAGTTAGTGTACCCCAAAGAAATGCATCGACATTTTAACAGTTTACTCTATCAAAAAACGTTGGTTCAATTAAAAAAATTAGCACTGACATATTTTATAAATATAAATCATCACACTAGCACAAAATGTCGGTGCAAACCTTTGGGGTACAAAATGATATACAAATTTTGGTGTACAAATAGCCTAATCCATACAAATAGGCCTCCAACTTTAGTGGGCCTTGTGTCATTGGACGTATTAAACTTAATCACGCGTTCGAGCACCCGACACATCCAAAAACCCTGCAGTAAAATAATGAGTTTGGGCTTGACATTTTACTATTTTAGAATATGGATGGAGCTCAGACTTTATAAACGGAGGCTCGTATCCTTTAGAGCTGGGCTTGGATATTTTGATCAAACTCGCGGCCCAACCGAGCCTGAATGAATACTACCCCGAAGTAATATTCAGTATTACTATAATTATAATCAAATAATAACAACATAAATGTTAATAATAATAAAAAACAACAATACTATTTCAAATTATTATAAACAGAGATATATATGTTTATGAAGAAAAAGAGATAATTATAAATATACTCCTTCCGTCCCAGAGTATTTGTCTACTTTCATTTTTACACACCATCTAATGCACTTCTTTAATCCATTTTATCTTGTAATTTGTATATTAAAAAATTATATAAATTATATATTAATAATTTATACGTTAAGACAAATCAAACAAGATCACACATGACTATATTTAAGCTTACACATTGAGAGAATTTGATGAGTCAAAGTGCTTAGATGAATAGTTCAAAAAGTCAAAAGTGGACGAATATAGCGGGACGGAGGGAGTACATAGTAGTTAATGCAATGGATTCTACTAAAAAAGAACCTATTTTTATTACTTCTTATCACGCATTGATAATGATATTCAAATAAATGATAGTGACATTCTAAAACAAAACACATTTTATACATTAGTTGTTCTTTGATATATTCATTATAGTTATTATATAAAACATCTAATAAATTAATGGATTATTTTATTTAAATAAATATTTGTTAATTATTTAGAGGTTGTTGTCCATAGAACCGAGCCGGTCTAGTCTTCGAGTACCTGCTATACAGGCCGAGACAGTCTCAGACCTGAAAAATTCTCGTAATATAACGTTTAGGCCTAACCCGCACGTTGATCAGGTCCAGCAAAAAGTGTCAAAGGGTATAACCCGAGTTTGATTCGTGGCAACTGCACTGCGAGGCAACTATGCTAAGCATAAAGCCTCTGCAAGATACCAAGTCTATGCTTTACTCTTTGCCACCAATTTGTGATCAATGTCTAATTTACCTTTTCTCAGTGACCGTCCGATCAGGTCTAAGAAGCTCATCTTTTTTTTCTACTGAGGAGGAAATAAGGTATAAAGTGAGGACATTCTAGTGGATAAATAGACCTCAGTGGGTAACAATGCAAAAATTGTAGTAAGATTAAAACAGTAAGTTTGAAAATTACCCAGAGAAGCTAACACTGTAAATCACAAATATGTGGCTGGCTAAGAACAGATTTTTTATTATGGCCTTTAGACCATTCGTTCATGCCCAGCTCTTTAGCATCAAACTATATAAAATGTATACCAATAAATCACAGAGGTGTTAGCCATGTGACAACAATTGGGCTTCTCACCTTATGAGTTCCATCTTTCCAAATCAAGCTCCCGAATTCGGGACCCGCTTGCACATCTTTTCGGGTAAATGTCACCTTAAAGGACAGTTTCTGTTGTTTTTTGGTGAACTTCAGTGTGTCTGGCTCAATCTTGACGGTCGCGCCTCTGAACTCTGACACCGCTAGGTGATAGCTCGAGACGGGCGGGCCCACATTGGTGACCGTCCTCCGAACGCTCACCGCCAAGACCTTACTGTCTTCCGGGAAGAGAACCGAGATGGCCGGGTAGTTCAAGTCCCCCGGGTTTGAGATTGTGTGTTTGCAGCTTCGGTTGGAGAATTTCCCAAACTGGCGGAGTTGGTCGGGTTCGAGGTCCTGTGTACATAGGAAGTCGAAGTAGTCCTGAGGCGTGATGTCGTATATCAACCCGGGATCAACGGCCTTGGTTGGATTTATGTGGCCCGCGCCGTGATCGTACACCGTTGATTCTCTTGCGGTCGAGGCGTCTTTGAGGTTCTTGAAGGTGTTGTCGTGGACGTAGGTGGTCGTCATGAGTGCCGATTTGATCGCGGCCGGGCTCCAGTCCGGATGCCTGGCCTTGAGCAATGCCGCGACCCCACTCACGTGGGGGCACGACATTGATGTTCCGGAGAGGATGTTGAATTTTGTTCTCCTTAGGTCGGTCGGAAGGGTGGACGGGCCCAGATCGCCCGTCCAACCAGCTAGGATGTTCACCCCGGGGGCCACGAAATCGGGCTTTACGATTTCTAGGGTCAAGATGTTTGGCCCCCTGGATGAAAATGCAGCCACCACCGGGGATGGTTTTACCCCAGTCTTCGTTCCAAGGAACGAAAGCGTCGCGGTGGGGTTCCTAGTGGACAAAGCATAGTTCTTGATTGCAATGCCGGCGGTTTCACCCACGCCAGCTGCGGGGAGGAGGTGGCTGTCTGCAACCAGCTCCTCCCCGTTAGCGGCAGTGTTGCATAGGATCATTCCAAGACCACCTGCATTCTTCACTACTAGGCCTTTTTGAGCCCGGGCGGTAACCCCCCGGTCGCAGATCACAATTTTTCCGGCGACGGAGCGGCGATCTAGTGCCCCCTCCAGGCACAGGGAGGGCGGCGCCGGAGTGGAAGAATTACCTCCGAAATAAATCAAAGGGTACTGTTTGTTAACGGAGAGGTTCTTCTTACCTTTGTAAAGTGAAGCTCCGGTGAAAGTTTGACCTGACCCGAGCTTTACTGTTGCCGGGAATTCCCTGTCCATGGTGCTGGCTCCGACGGTGGCGATCCAGGGCGATACATTGGTGAGGGTGATCGGGGCCGGCCCACTATTCCCGGCAGAACACGAGACGAAAACTCCCATCTCCATGGCACCAAAGGTGGCCACTGATAAACTGTCTCTGCCGTATGATGAAACTCCGCCGCCCAAGGATATGGAGAGAACATTCACGCCGTCAGCCACCGCTCGATCCACGGCGGAGAGAATGTCGGAGCTAAAACACCCTCCGGTCCAACAGACTTTATAAGCGGCGATTCTCGCCCCGGGCGCCATCCCTCTGGCGGTGCCATAAGCGTAGCCCAACAGATTCGCTCCGCGAACAGGGGATCCGGCAACCGTCGACGCCGTGTGGGTGCCGTGGCCGTCCTGATCTCGCGGCGATTTATTCTCCCCTTGCTCCGGGATCTTGCCGGAAGCGGCTTCGTACCCTTGGTAAAACACTCTGGCGCCGACAATCTTTCTGTTACAGCTGTTCTTCGCGAATCCTCGGCCGACCTCACACTCGCCTTTCCAGTGACGGGGGACGGCTCCCATTCCGGTGTCATTGAAGCTCGGGCTCTCCGGCCAGATCCCGGTGTCGAGCACGCCGACGACGACATTGCTGTTCATCAGCTTCCCAGCCCACGGATCAGATGAAGCATTTCCATTTCCAAGAAGCCTCATAAACAGAGAGCTTCGAGTGGTATGTAACCGGTAAACGGTCTCCGGGAAGACGGCTAAGACGCCGTGTTTCTTCTCCAGCCTCTGCAACTCCTCTTCCGTCAACCGAGCAGCGACGCCGTGGAATGCCGTCTGGTAGCTGTAGAGAACCCTTTCCTCGCCGGAGCTTTCCCCTGTTTCTTGCTCTTGATACAGTACCGATTTCACTAGGGAGGAATACCACTCCCCGTGGCCGCCGGTAAACTCCTCCGGCTTCGCCGATTTATCCATTTGGATGATATAAGTTTTCTTCGGCGACCCATTGCTGGTAGCAATGGAGAAAGTGCAGAGAAGGCATATGGAGAAGGAGAGAAGAATGAATCTCTCCATCGATTTGGAAGAGTGAGAGAGTGAGAAAAGAAGAAGAAGAAGAAGATGAGATTTTTAGATGATTTCTGGGAGTCGGTGACTTTGAGGTTAGAAATTGACAGTCTCTTGAAATCGAGGATAATTAAAGCTGCAGATAATTTCCACTCATAAACCCAAATTGCTGAGATTTACTTTTTTGATTTTTTTTTGTTACCACTCTAATTTGACATGGTTGAGTGCTCTTTTCCTTTTTATATGTGAGGATTTCACTTTTGTTACTTGCAATTTACTCATCTTCCAAAATACACCCTCCTAATTTTTGCAACTATTGTCTATAAAATTAGTGTCAATCTAAGAATTTGTCTTCTCCATAAGAGCCCTTACACTACCTTTGTCCCAAAAAAATTATTAAAGTTTGATTTTTTGATCAAACTGTGATAGAACTTAACTACAAATTAAATATAACGTTAAACAATTATATGTTACTTTGGAGTATAAAAATTTTATACATCAAAATTTTCATTATAACTAAATATGTATTTTTTCACATCTTATAGTAAAAGTATTGCAAGATTTGACCAAAAAAGTTAATCTCTATCAATTTTTTTGGGAAGAAGTGAATATGATTTTTAGTGGGTAGAATATTTCTAGCTCCGTACAATATTTCACTTCTTATTTACATTTTGGGATGCACAACAGTTTCAAAACATGGAGAGTAAAAATTGTGGAGTACATAAAGTCGAAGATTCTCCATAGAGAGGTGAGAGTTCAACTCCTCATGTGGATATATGGTAGACAAAAGATTGCAATCCATGTTACTCAAGCTTTTTCACAAACTCCCTTTCCACAAATTATTTGACCAAGTTCGCTGTTTCAAGAGAGGGGATAAAAAACTCCATCTTTCCACAAACTAATGTTTTCAGAGTGATTACTTTTAAATTAAAGGTCACTAGTTCAATCTCCAGTAAAAATTATAACTCTTAAAATGGGAAGCAAATCTCAATTGTGGAGAAATATTTTTTATTTTGGATTTCATTCATTTTTGAGTTGAATAATCGAAGAAGTATGCGTGAAAATGATACTTGTAACTTTCTCGGTTCAATATATTAGAAAATAAAAAACATTTCCTGGTTCATAGCTACAACCTTAAGCATTTAGTTGAGTTGATTCTTTGACATAGTATCAGAGATTTTTTTTTATTTAAATGTCACGAGTTTGAAACTCAACGCCATTTAATTTTAAAAATTTAAAGTTTCACGTGAAAGATTTGAAAAAAATTACGTTTGCACGTACGAGAGCGGATTAGCCATAACTACAAACTTAAATTTTGAGTTGAGTTTGTTCTTTGACACAAAACAAGCTCAATGAAAATATCTCACCCATGATAATTTTTTGCCTGTGTCAAAACTTTCTATGTACTCTATGTCTCTATCCCACCAATGGATATAATAATACACTTTAACTATACAATCCGAATTTTAACCGAACTATAAATCCTACAAATGTGATTAAATACTATGAGTAGACTTTACCATTTCAAAAACGCCAAACATATCTTCATATGTATATCATTTTAACACAGGTTGTTAGGTAATAAAATGTCGGGACTGCACGAACTCGCCTAACATTCCATTAGTATGATATTATCCGCTCTAGATTAAGCTATCACAAATTTGTTTTTAAGCACTTCTCAAAAAGTCTCGTACTCCAATTTAAATTTCAATCGCACTTAAAAAATCCTACTAATGTCATTAAATACTCGGAGGTAGACTTCACAATTTCAAAAACACCAAACTTATATACATTGTATGTCCTTTTAATTAACACATGTTGTGAGGTAGAAAAATGTTGAGATTGTAAGAACCCTCACCTAACACTGCATTAGTATAATATTATCTGATCTCGATTAAACTCTCACAAATTTGTATTCAGGTACTTCTCAAAAGTCTCATACTAACGAGTTGACTTGTGCTTATTTATTTTGGTTCCTTTTCCCTTTGTCTTGCAAGGTGGGATTGTTTTGCTCCCAACAAACTTCACCTCAAACCCATACCACAAACCTCGTAACCTCCCCTTTAGCAATAATCGTTATAGTCTATCCTACTATTTGCACAGCCGCTCCAACCGCTGGACACATTCCCCAACCTCCATATTTGCCCTCATTTTTGGAAAGACTTTTGACACAAACTATCAATCACATATCTCCATTATCTTAGGTCACACCATTTGATATGTCAAATCCTACATATCTCCTTTCTATTAGCATAACGTCACGCTAAGAACTCTGCACTACGTAGTCCATCGCTCATGTCCTCTCCAACATGGGCTCCGATACAGCCTGTTCCGACTGTGCGTACTCTCACCTCAATCCTGACCCGCATTAGTATGATATGTTTTGTTTTGGGCCAAACATTCACAAATATATTTTTGAGCACCTTGAAAAAGGTTTCATTCTAATTGATTGCCTTGAATCTATTTATTTTGGTTTCCTTTATCTCTTTCATATAGTTTGAGAAAGTTTTACTTATAACACAAAACATTAATAAACTAGAAATCATCCTAAATAGGACTAAAACATAGAGAAAAGTACCAAAATAGGACTTTCATGTTTTTTTCCCGGAATAGGACTTTACATTGTGGTAATGTGACTTTGCATTGTGGTAACGTGGCAGTGTACATGTGCAAATTACTATACTTTTTTGGTAATGTATATGACCATGTTTGGTAATATAAGTCCTATTTCGAGAATAAAAACATAGAAGTTTTATTTTGGTATATTTTCAATGTTTTAGTCCTACTTTGGTCTTTCTCCCTACATAAACTCTAGAAGTACTTCCAAAATATTTGAGGATCCACTCCATGACGTACTTCTCGGTGCTCTTTATTGGATTCAACATGTAATTAACAATTCCAAAAAAAATATGCAATATTATGCACTCTGTTTTAGATTAATTTTGAAATATCATGCATTTAGAAAAAAAGTCTGTATTTATTTCGATATGTAATTTAGATATGAATGGTTAATGTGTTATACTATACGTACGGTGTGAGATCTTTATTTGGGATGAATGTTTATTTACGTTCATGGGCGGCCTGGCGTGATGCGCTACAACCAGCCTAACTTCATGTTAGACATTTTGTTTTTTTAATACCGAGTATGAATTTTTTGCCCCTAATTACCGGCAAATAACTCAGGGGCTGTTTGTTTCAGCCTGGTTCAGATGTCTGAATGGTTCATCACTTAATGGTTCAGACTGTTTGTTTCAGTCTCTTAATGGTTCAGATGTCTGAATGGTTCAGACATTTGCCTCTGAATGGTTAAGTATTATACAGAGTCTGAATGGTTAAGACCTCTTATCTGGATTGATCAGACATTTGCCTCTGAATAGTTAAGCAATATACTAGCTCTTAATGGTTCAGACCTCTTACTGGTTCAGCACTTAATGGTTCAGACCTCTTACTGGTTCAGCACTTACCTATTCAGAAGTTGCCAAACAGCCCCTCCGTTAACCTTGGGATTCTCAATATTGTTATTGTATGTGTAAAATACTAAAATTATAAAGCTCATATGCTAGAAGATTTTGACATCATTTGGCATCGGTGTTATAGATTAGTGTTTGCATTTTAAAGAGATACATCAGCTTTTAGCGTTGGCAATTTCAAAATTCATGTACACCATTAAAATTTTATCCAGAACGATACCACTAATAAATAATTATACCCCATCCATCCAGAAGTAGATTACAGAGCTACTACTCAGTCTGGTCCTAAAAACCTTTTCTGTTTTGACTTTTTTCGGTCAAATAGTGACACTCTTTGACCATAAATTAAATATAATCTAAACAAATAGATTATATAAAATTTGATATATCAAAACTATATCTTATGGTGAACCCAATTATATTGAATTTATATTATACTTAAATATATTGTACTGTTTCTCAAAATTTGTGGTTAAAGAATGTCATTGTTTGACAAAAAACAAAATAGGAAAAGTTTTTAGGACCGGATGGAGTATATATTAAACTTATGATATCTTTTACCGCGTATTTATTTTCATTTGTCGTTGATCATTTAGGGAGGGGATGAGTATTAAGTTGTCCTCCAAAAAAACATGCACCATTCATTTCTAATACCACATTCAAGATTATTGTTATTGAATTGGACTAAACTATATCTATTACTTTTTTCTTTATCAATTTTATTATCATTTGTTAGGAAAAGTAATCAAATCATATATATGTACAATTCTATACAAACCAAAATGATTTCATTAACAAAACCCCGGCCCCTTGCTCAAAACACTAACGTATAACAAAACAACATTGGGTGGTTTCTTTTTCTCTTTGTTCTTTTGCCTACCAAACACTAGTGTGCACATTGTAAGGCCAATGTGTTTGTGGAGTTAATATTCGTGAATAAGCCATAATATGTTGGTTGGTTGGTTGGTTGATATCATGAATGCTATTGGATAGTTGGGGTTGTGCTGTCAATAAAGTCACCATAGAATTAAAAGCTACTTCAAATCGACATCAAGAATGTAGTCAATTTTATGCACCACAAGTTTGCCCTTGATAGTTTATCTTGTTACAAAATGCTAGTTTGTAATTTTTTTGATCGCAATAATATTTTGTATTAGTGTGAAACTATGAAACATCAAAGTGATGGTGTCAACCTGTGATGTACAAACTATGGTACACTCCCTGATGTAGTAAATTTTTTGATTTTGGAATTATTCACTGGGTAATAAGTTTTTCATTTGCTCTCAATGTATTCTTTTAATTTGACTTTATGAAACGATTCGAAAATAAATTTAGTCAAACATCATTACTCGCTATGAGATTATATAATTTTTTGATGGACAAAATATAAATAAAAATTACGGAATACCTTTTATTATAGAGAAATTTACTTAAATAGGACTAAAACATAATGAATTTCCCAATATAGGATCATATGTTTTTATTTCTCAATGTAGGACCTTTGGTCATTATGAAGTAGTCATTATTCAAGTAAATGTTCATCATTACTGGACATTATTCCTCCCACTAGGTCATTATTAAGTCCTATTTAGAGGTAAAAAAGTTGAAGTCCTACATTAGAAAAGTCATTATGTTTTAGTCCTATTTAGTGCAAATTTCACTTTATATTACTCCCTCCGTCCTAAAACTGTCTTCCCGGTTCGCAAAACGAAGAAAAATCCCAAGTTTTTTCAATCTATTTTATTTAAATATTGGTATAAAAATAAAAAATAAAACATACATATTTAAAAACTACATCAAAAGTTCAACAAAACAAGTGGTGACAAGAATATTTTATTTTATCATATAGGCCATGAAAAAACACAAATAAATATAAATTCCCGTGAAGTTGAAATAGTGCTCTGGGAAGAAAGTTTTAGGACGGAGGGAGTATATACATTTTCGTCTTTTTCGAACTAAGTAATGGAAGGCTGCCTGCTGATGAGCTTATTGGGCCCGGTCTTTTATTCTTCCTTACCCAAGGGGTCGGTCTTAATGGCTTACATCAAGCCCATATGTTACAGGTCCATCCTAAGAGGTCTTAACGGTTTACTCCAAGCCCATGCTTTAAAGTAGTCTATTCAGATTTCGCTTAGATTCCAAGTTTGAGAATTCTAAAATTTGTTATTTAAATTGAAAAAAAAAACCTCTTTCACAATAAGGCTTAATTCAAATTTATATACTTCTCGTGGCCATTTGAAATCTAAAAATTCATTTTGGAACTAAAATCCAAGATTTCACATGAAATCTTAATTTTCAAACACTAACTAAGAGTAACTAGGGTTAGGCAAGAATCTCGAATCGTTGTCCCGACTAAAAATATTCCGATCTTGTCTCTAAAATATTCCATTTTGTTTGGGATGACAAAATTTTGACCCAAACCCATTACGAACCGTTTTAAAATGAGACGAGACCAGGATACATAAATATTTTCTCGTCCCGCCCCGTTGTCCTTATTTATGTATATATATCTATTTATTTATTTCTATAATGATATAACAAAAAAAAGTATTACAATTTTTTATTTTACCCAGGATGGATACAAACAAGTATCCAAATTCAAATATTCTAAAAAATGGACTATGACCGAAATACCTAAAAATTCAGACCGTTCAAGCCGGTCCCATCGCATGTTGTGGCTCATGATTTTTTATGAAGTTTATAGTTTTGACTTTTGACATATGTGTTAACATTTTTTTGCTTCCTTATTGTTTTGGCTTTTCTAAGATATTCTAAATAAATATATCATTTTTTTACTTTGCAAGTCAAAGTGTGTTGCCACCCCCTTATTTATTTTCTAATTTTGTATCTTATTTCCAACAATGACAAAGCAGGACAAACCTAATTTGTTCCGTTTCATCCCGATCTTGAATATTAAGAGACAAAAAAGATAAGTTTTGCAGCCTTAACTGTTTCAAAAAATAGCAAAAAAAATGAGAAGGTAAAATTAACTAAGAGAATAAAAAATAAAGTTCTTCTCATTCTAGTGAGAAAAATGAGAAAAAAAATAGTTTTTTCCCTTTTTTTAAATAATTTTTTGAACCAAACCTAAGAGGACTGGAAATACTCGTGAAGTCCCGGAACTTCAAACCGGGGCTTCAACAATTTTTTCTCTGCCACATCAGCTTTAACTTACCTCACAGATTCAGTGGAAATGGGTTTGAAGCCCCGGAGCTTCAAACAGGGGCTTCAAACCTTCATTTTTACATTTTTAAATATACATCTTCTAAATTTAGATTAATAAATTTTAATTAATTTATTATTTAAATTAATCAAAAGGAGACTAGTGCATTAAAAAAATTACATTCATTAAATAAAATTTACATTCATAAAAGAATACATTCATAAAAAAAGTTACATTCATTAAAAAAAATATTACATCCATAAAAAAACAACACTACAAAAAAATTACTAATTATTCGAGCGACTAAAAATATCTTCATTTAAATCCGAGTTGTAATAACATATTGCAAACTGAAATAATTCATTAAATAAAAAATACAGTCAATAAAAAAGGTATGTTAAATTAAAAAAACAAAAAAAAATTACATTACTAAAAAAATTTAAACAAAAAAATATTACATTAAACAACAAAATATAGAGTAAAAAAATTATGTTTGTGTATGTTTTTTTAAAAAGAGGATTGGGGAGATTTGAAGCCCGTTAAAGTTCTGAAACACAAGGAATGAAGCCACAAGGGGGCAATAACGCCCCCTTTAGCGTTAAAAGGGGTAATAACGCCCCCGGCTTTATGCCCATTATCCGTGCTCGCATAATGCGCACCATTGTTAGGTAACACCGCACAAGTAGCTTTATCTTCGGTCCATTTTGAAAGCCCAATAATAGCCTGGTTTGTAATACTACACCCAAGTGGGCCGAAGGATGGATACAACAAGAGTATCTAAATTCAAGTATTCTAAAATAATGGACTAGGGCCGATATGCCTAAAATTTCAGACTCTTCAAATCCGTCCCACCCCATTTTGTTGCTCATAATTTTTTTATTATGCATATAGTTTTGACTTTTAATATATGTGGTAACATTTTTTAATGCTTCCTTATTGTTTTGGCTTTTCTAAAATATTCCAAATAAATATATCATTTTTTATTATTTTGCAAGTCAAAGTGTGTTGCCCCGCCTTATTTATTTTCAAATTTTGTATATAGTTTCGAACAATGACAAAATAGGAGAAATCGAACATGTTCTGTTTCATCCCGACATTGAATATTAAGGGACAAATAAGGATAAGTTTGTAGTCCGAACCGTTTGAAAAAAATACTTAAGGCGGGACAGTATAAAACCTGAATCGTCCCCACCCGCGCCCACCCTTAACTGAGACCATGAGAGTCTTCCAGACTAACCTAAGTGCCGCTCTAGTCAAAAGTCTGGTTGAGATGAAAACAAATATTTCTTATTTGATTAGAGAGAGAAAAGAAAAAAATATGAGAAGGTAAAATTAACTAAGAGAACAAAAAAATAAAATTCTTCCCATTTCAGTAAGAAGAAATGAAAAAAATAGTTTTTTTCTTTTTAAATAAAATACGAGTAATTTTTGAACGAAACATAAGGTTAGCATAATACGCACTATTGTTAGGTAAAACCGCACAAGAAGCTTTCTTTTCGGTCCATTTTGAAAGCCCAATTATAGCCTGGTCTATGATACTACACCTAAGTAGGCCAAAGGAAACAAACAAAATTCGTATTTGGACTCATTGATTGGGTCGGCGAATCGCTTTAGTGTTGGTTTCTTTGCGTGAATTTTAATCTCTATTTTTATTTTTTTTAAAACTTTGTAAAAGGCAAAAAACGAAAAGTTTAATTTGGAACATGGAAAATATTGTTGTGAGTTCCTTTTATATATATATATATATATATATATATATATATATATATATATATATATATATATATATATATATATATATATATATATATATATATAGATTTTGGTTCTGGTGAGAATGTAATCTTAAGAGAGAAATGAGAATGAATGTGATG